CTTCGGCCGGAAAATTCGTCTTTTAAGAAAGAAATTTTAATAAGAGAACTTCAGTCATGCTAGAAATATAAATCATTGCTTTGATACAATGATTATGAAAATTTTCTTACAACGTGAATAGAGAGTTATTTGTCAGTAGTTGGTGTCGGAAATTGTTGCATACAGCATTTAATTCCCTCGTCACCAATTTCTGAAAATTTTTCAGCGCCCCCACTACCAACTGCCTCACGTCAACTTTGCTCTAGATCCGCCCCTGATAGTAGAATGACAGTCAATCTTAATTTTCAAAAGAGCTTACAAGGATTATTCATTAAGGTTTTCATGAGCGTTGAACCTTTAACAGGCAAAGTTCTTCGCATATTTTTTATTTCTGTATTTTGCATATGCATATAAGGATGGAGACCGAAACTAACCTTGTCTCGTTTATTTGTAATTGCCCTTCTTTTGACTGTCTATTTTACACTCTTTTTTTAAAAGAATAATTTTCTAAGAACACGAGCCTCAAAACTGGTCAAAAGTTAAGAACAAATTAAGAACAAGCAGCTGAGGCTAAGCTTCTGCAAAATGCAATTTTGAACAACGTTTTTTCTCAAAATGGAGGCTTTTTAGCGATGTGTGGGTGCTTTTTCGGTGAATATTCAAATTTGTCAGCAAATTAAGGTTGTCTCATTCACTTTGTTGGCAAATGAGGCCTGAACATCTCCTTAGAGCGAAAAAGCTAGCAATAGCGCTGCTTACACCCTCTTAATTTATGAACAAATTAAGAACAATCCAGCCTCGGATATTCGAAAAAATTAAAAACAGTCAGCCTGAATTTAAATTCACTGGTTCTTATAAAAAAAGAGTATTTGCCTAAACTTAAAGCATTACTCTTTCAAAACAAGATATACATATAATTGGATAGATTTGGATAATCAAACTCACTTTCGACGCCTTCTTGTTTTGGGGTGGTTGAAATGCATAATGACTGTTTCCAATACTGCTTTACTATGCCAGTTGTCTACTTTCGACAGCATGGTCTTTGCATGACTGATACTGCAGCGGTCTCAAGCAAATGTTTCTCTGTTTCACCACTTGGAAAGGAAGCTCACCACTGCCTCAGCTGGTGAGAGAAAACGAAAACGTTATGACAGAGAGTGACTTGGAAATTCGCCGTAAGGGATCTCTCCATTTTGCTGTGTGTTATATGGCCTTATACAAATCAGGCAGATCATTGAGGTCACGATGGTGAAGTAGGCTTGCAAGCTCACCCCTAACACACACCAACCGAAAGGAACGATTGATGTTGTAAGGAAGCATGAACACAAAGCGCCACAAGAGAGATTTGTTAAACCAATTTAAATACAATGATTGAACGTTCTTTTAGTATTGCATGTCAACCTGGTTTTGTTACTTCTAAAGTTTATCAGTAAATATTTTCCAAAAGACGTAACATTGCATGCTATAAAGTTCTGAGATTGATCCTTTCTTGTACCCTTTCTTGTACCCTTTCTTGTACCCTTTCTTGTACCCTTTTTGTACCCTTTCTTGTACCCTTTCTTGTACCCTTTCTTGTACCCTTTTTTGTACCAAAATACTTATAATTTTGTCTGTGCATAGCAACTTTAAAAATATTCCTATACTACTAAACAAAGATACACTGTCATGCCTCGTTTCTGAAAATACAGCATTTAAAAATATACAGCCATTAGAGACACTCTCAGGAGTTGTTTTATTGGGTAGAAGCCCTGAGAAGGTTTTCATAACAAGGTTTGACTGTATATGCTATCAAGATCCGTTAAAATGCATCAATATCTTCTGAAAAAAATTTTTATTGCCGAAAAAAAGGTTGTGGCTTTTCGGCTCTCTTGTCACGTTACTTTAAAGCTGTGGCATTTGTAAATAGCAAACCGTTAGATGAAAATACAACATTTTACGGACAAGTATCGACATCTCTTAGGCCATTTTTACAGTCTTCATTGCCGAAGTTTACATTTTAATTCTTTTAATTCGAAAGAATAACAAAATTTTCCAACTTTCCATGTCAAATGGTCTCAATATCCCAAAGATAATTTAACAACACAGCGAGTAAGCATGTACACAGCAACTGGCCAAATTCTTTTGACATGCTTATTGTACTAAACAAGCTCAGGAAATACGAAGGAGATTTTCCTGAAGTCTTCCTTTGAACTGTTTGTGGTCGGAGATAAGGTCGCCAGAGAATTTACAGCCCGGAACCATGTTGCTTGCCGCTCTCTACAATTGTGTCACGATTTTCTGCTTACACAGAAATTGTACGAAAAGCCACAAAGTAAAGTCCCATGAAACGATACCAAACTTCACATTTTTTATACTTTATGTAATGAGTTTGCATTTTGCTGTTATTAGAAGAAAATCATACTCGTAAATGTTAATTGAAAACCAACTTAATTCAATTGCAACGGTACTTTTGTGTATTTTTAATTTCAAAGCAGTCAAATTTCTATCTCAGTACATTGTACATCTTCGTTGTTTCGGAGATGTTGATGAAGCCAGTTAAACGGGTCAATAATCTGTTGTTAAATTATCAGGTACCGAATTTGTTGGCAAGATATTCGAAAAAGTGTTTTCTTTTATTATGATTGCCCGGAGAGCCAAGGCGAAAGTCTTGGAAAAACGAAAGTTTATCGTTAAAAAAGAATTATAGTAAATAGTCATCCATTACTTAACCTAAAATACTTTTGGTTTTGATCTTGGCTGTTTATTTTGTTTCCATTCTTATCTGGTAAAATCACACCACCCTTTTCCTCTTCTTCAAGGCCGATTTCCATTTGACCTTTTTTGTGCGCGCGGGCTGAGCATGCGTAATTAAAATCAAGTGGTCTCGATTTTGCGTCCGCTGTGAGCGCCAGAAAGTTGATAAGGTCTTAATTTTTATGTGCGCTGGGCCACTTGACAGCAGCACTTAGCTACGCATGCTCAAATTTGGGCGCTACGCCCGCGCGCACAAAAAATGTCAAATGGAAATCGGCCTTTATGTGTCATGCGCTAAGGCGTTGACGATCATGCTCCTCCAAACTTCTCTATCTTGACATGTATGAATGAGTTCATTTTCATTTGTCCTGTTAGTCCATTCTTTGATGTTGCTCAAAGACGTCAGTCTCTGTCTGCCTCTTGCTCTTTTACCTTCTACTTTTCCGGTTAGCGATCGGTTCTCTATGCCTTTTATCCGCATAACATATCCCAACAATGTCATTTTCCTGATGGTCTGTAACAATTTTCGCTTCACGTAAGCAATTGTGAGTACTCGCTCATTTGATATCTTATCAGTCCATGAAATCTTCAGCATTTTTCTAAAAAATCACATCACTTTTGCCTCCAAACGCTTTTGCATATCAGATGAGATACTCCATGTCTCACAATTCAATGCCAAATCCAAGGACTCACTATCTTTAATAACTTTATTCAGAGTTTTTCTGTCTCAGCAAATCTCGTAAGAGTAGTTTTGAAACAAATCTTGAGCTTTACCTATAAATAACAGCCTTTTTCATGAAAGAGTAATGGATACAAAACATCTACAAAATATCTTTCCAAGCATCACAGTCTTCAAGACTACAGTCCAGTTCTACAGATTAGATTTGGGGAATTGGTCTTGAACAAGAAAACCTAGTAAACTGCTTGCTGCAATATTTAGACTACCATATAGCCAATGTAACATCTTCATAATCTTTATGGATGTATACCATGTCTATAAAAGCAAAGATCAGAAAATACTCGTTCCATTCTAATTATAGAGACAAGCTGCTAAGCTTCTCGCTATGTCCAGTGTGGACTATTCTGACGCTCCTTTTCGACCGCTTCCTTGAAACTCTTAGAATAATTTCAAAAGGTTAAACAATATTGCTGCAGGTATTCTAATTGGCCGCAACACCAAAGGGAAAGAAGTGACACAATTGCTTGGTTGCTAGCAAAGGAACGTAGAAACTGGCATATTTTGAAGCTTTCATTTAAGAACGTACATGATCAGCAAAAGCCCAAGTACATTGAAATACGGCTCAAAGAAAATACCAGAAACGTAACAACTATTTCTGTGCCGCTTATTGCGTCATATTGTGCTTCCAGATAGTTCCAGGAAAGATGTGACAGAACTCCTCGATGCCTGTCAGCCGGAATCAGGGGAGCTAAGGCTGCAATGGTATTTTCAATGCCAATGCGTAGTACTTATGCATAGAATTAATGATTATTATTATGACTTATAAGTGTCAAGCATAGTCAAATAATGTCGAAAAGCATAAAAAATATTTAGATCAACATAGTTTTGGCACATTTGCAGTGAACTCCAACTCACTTAGTTATCAGCGCAAAGGTTGTGGCAAAACTTGGGAAAATCCACTAATGACGTCACAAAAAAGCAAACGGCAGCAAAATAAATCATATGATACATCAATTGAATGCACTTGAAATGCGCATTCACATAAGACCTACCATTGCTGAATTGTGCAATTTGCTTTGAATAAATAGCGGAATTATGACTGTTTTTGCCGTTATTGATGACGTCATCAGTCATATGATACTGAGGCAAAATTTTTTTGGTCCCATCTTGGATTCTGAATCTCCATACTCAAAAGTATATAAAACCATCATGATCATCTCGGTTAGGTGAGAAATATGATTTTCGCAGCCATAGCCCTGCCTAAACGCAGTAAAAGACTATGCGGTACCTGTAGCAGATAAAAAAAGTACCTGACCTGACTATGTACCCGGTAAATATTTTCTGTTGCCAATGCCGACAATGTAGTCAAACAATAGAGTTATTCTTTTTAGATCAGTGGTTCTCGTTCTACAGTTGTTTCGGTCCCTTTATTCAGTAAAATTTTAACGATTTATAAAAAATTGCAAGTACTTGCCTATTTGTGGTGTAATTTTTCTTAGAATAACCCCTGCTTCATATAAAAAGGCAGGGAGTACCCTCTGGGTTATCGCGACTTTCTGCCTTACAAAGCTTTAATCATGGCAGTATGCACACAGAGAATAAGCAAAGGTGCAGGAATATGCTGCTCATATTAATTAAATTTGCTACACAAAGTTCTAATATATATTTCAATGTTGACGTGGTAATAATTGTTATAATACGAGCATAGTACGAAAGAACAAAGTTTTAGTCTATATGACAGCTTATTTTTGATGTGGGCTTATTTCATCGTCACAGGTAAGAACAAATCTGTTCTTAAGGTCTTCGGGAATGGATTTTGAGCAATGAAATATCAAGTTGGAGGAATGCAACTTTCAGTAATTAAATTAAATGTTTTTGATCGTAGATACAAATCATACGACTCTTTTAAATTAATCATTCTTTTTATTTATACCAGTACTGTTTTGTTGCACAAAGAAATAAAATTTTTAGGATGGAAATTCCAAACTTAAAGGAAAATAACTTTAATCTATCTGTTTCGATGAAAAATAAATTTCCCAAATCATATTAATCATATATCAAATAAAGAAGTCAGCATAATGATTTTTCTTGCCAATTTATCACTTTCGTAGCTTGGCGGCCCTCTTCTGCTTCACCATGCCCACTAAGCTTCCAAGCTCGTGTAAGTTTATGGCTCTGCGCTTGCGTTTTGAACCGGCCGCGATTTTATCAATGGAATCCAATTCATCGAGCTCGTCCAGTACGCTGCGCTTCTTATCGTGGATCGATCTCTTCTCCTTTTCTAGCAAACCGGCATCGGATACAATTTCTACGCCATCCAGGTTGTTCATAGATTTGCAAGTGAAACTGCTGCACGAGCACTGTTGGATCTCCGTGAATGCAATCTGGTAAGGGTAGCAATTAAGATTATATGAATAACAGAACAATTGCAGTCTCTGAAGAAGAGACATGTGTTTTTTGAGGAAGCCTATTCCATCTAGTGGGCCTACAGGGTTTTTGTACAAAAATTCACAGAAAAACGTGGGATATGTCTAGCAGATATGTATATTACAGTGCCGTCGGAACGAAATTCATATTGGGGGGGGGGGGCTGCCCATTGTTTTCCTTCTCATTCAGTACACTGTTATAAAGGAAACATACTACAGTTTGACAATTATTGGGGGGGCTCCAGCCCCCTCAGCCCCCCGGTTCCGACGGGCCTGTATTAGATGAAAAGCCTAACTAAAAATCATAAGGATATTGACTGTCTTTTTGATGCTATTGAGCCTTCCTTTGAACTTAATTTGGGGAAGAAAATATTCACCACTGTCTGCAGAAAATTAGAAAGACATTGGTTATATCTAGACATATGTTTGTCGACGTTCAGGATTTTCTTCCTTGATTTCAGCTGTCTACAAAGAAAAAGCAAAAAATGGTTACCAACCTCGTATGGCGCTTTTCCATCAGAACATGTCATTTTCGCCACATGCTTTTTGACTTTCATAGGTTTACAGCAAGTACATGACGGGGCAAAAGTGACATCTTCTCCCATGGTTGCCATGACACTGCTTTCACAAATACCACCGCATCCAGTCATTCGGTACTCCTCTGAGGAGGTGCAGTTGCCTTGAACTAAGGCCTTGTATCCAAACGTCTTCACCTTACACTCATTGCTTGGAACTGCAAATTGAGTAAGAATAACCGTGAATCGATGGCCCATGTGGAATCGATGTCAAACCCATATTAATGGAGACGAATAATCGTCTCAAAGCACGATCAAATCTACATTGCGTGTAACAGGCAAATGAAACGTTTAGAAGCCGAGTCGGGACTGTGATCACATCTTAAAAATACCTTCTTAGAATTTTCGATTTTAGACCGTATGATTTGAAGTATTAGTGAAATCTGTTACAAATGGACATAGAAACAGTTTAAGACTTGGAAATCTAACAATCTAAATCAAACTTTAGGAACCTGATACCTCAGATTGTCATGAAAAATGTTGTAGATTAAAAGGATTCAATAGTCTGTGGTACTCTCTGCTGCAATGTTTTTTACGGCTTATTGAATATTTCAAAAACTTACCACATTTAGGGCAACATTTGCCTTCCTCGGGAACACTTTCGAATCCCTAAAAGCATTAATTATTCCATTATTAATGTTTGCTACAGGATGAGCTACCTTTGGAAAGGGTAGGAGGGACCATTTAGCGAATCATGAGGCAATCGTAAACCAATTGCAAGAAAACGCTTCTGTTCTGACAACGAGAGATTTCAAGGGCTGAACTAATAAATTAGTCAAAGACTGGTTTCAGTTAAAAGAACAATGGCTTGATGACTATACACATTGCTTTAGGTTCAAAGATGAGGTGGATCTAGCAGTGCATCAAACCTTGCAGCATTTCAATCGATTACATTGGATTCTCGTCGTCGTATTGCTTTGTTCCTGAATATTTTTTTTATTTGAATGTTGAGGTGGAGATGTAAATTCATTGATAGAATGGAGCACAGAAGTACATTAAGGAAGTTCTGGCATACCTTTGGACATGTCTGGCACTCAATCTTCGACTCGACAATCTGCAAATTCTTCTTCGTTGGATAACATGGGTTAGGAACCTCAGCACAAGTGTAATTACTGCATTTTTCAGACCATGTTTCGTTCACCTGTAAGTACACACCATTTGATAAAGCAATTCCTTCTTCAAACTTCTAATCTGGCTAATATGAGCAACAATTAACAGCGAGAAAAACAAGATTTGCAAAGCAATACAAAATAAATGACACAACTGAGCCCAAGAGCGAAAACAAAAACAGCAACAACAATGATAACAGCAACAACAACAACAACAACAAAAATAATAGTAATGACAACGGAAAGATATAAGTGTTTAAAACAATTAGAAATTAGGAATAGCACCAATACTGTAGGAATTTGATTTCCGAGTCAAATCAGAGTAAAACAACAAACTTCAGCTTTGAAAAGGTAACTTGCATTTGGCTATCTTGGTCTTATCATAACACAAACACATGGATTCGATGAAAAAGCTACACCTGTGGTAAACGCACCAACAATGCAAAATCAATATAGTATTGATTATTCTAGGATTTAGTAGCAATAAGTGCAGATTATTAAATTGATCAATCGACAAAATTTCTAACTACTATTTCCTTAGCTATGCAGAATAAAGCGATAAAAAATCGTCACAAGTTAAGTTAACATAGAGTTGGAGTTTCAAAAAAGAAACTAACCTGATAGAATTTTCCATTAGAGTAGCAAGCAGGGCAAGCAGCTGAAAAAAAACGCCAACAATGAAAGTGGACTTATTAACAGTTCAAAGAAACAAACGGAAACATAAGCAAGTAGATGCAAGTACAAACAAGATACTAAAGATAGCCTTTTGCTACTGGAAAGGAAGAAAGTTAATAAAAAGAAGTATCACTCACGGGTTGTAGAAGGAACCACAGTTGTAAAGGATGGAGTGGCTGTTGTCATAGTTGTAAGAATGACCTTTGAACTGCTCACAGTAAATGTGTATGTAGTTGACAAAGATAATGAAGGTGTCTTTGTTGTTGACAAAGATGTAGTTGGTGGTGGTGGTGACACTGATGTTGTTGGTGGAGGTGCTGTACTTGGTGGTTGTGTTGTAGTTGGTGGTGGAGGCACAACAGACGTCGATGGAGTCGGTGGTGGTGCAACAGATGTTGTTGGTGGTGGTGGAGATGTTACTGATGTTGAAGGAGTTGGTGGTGGTGGTGCAACAGACGATGTTGTTGGTGGTGGTGGTGCCACTGATGTTGTTGGTGGAGGTGCTGTACTTGGTGGTTGTGTTGTAGTTGGTGGTGGAGGCACAACAGACGTTGATGGAGTCGGTGGTGGTGCAACAGATGTTGTTGGTGGTGGTGGAGATGTTACTGATGTTGAAGGAGTTGGTGGTGGTGGTGCAACAGACGATGTTGTTGGGGGTGGTGGTGACACTGATGTTGTTGGTGGAGGTGCTGTTCACTTGGTGTGTGTTGTAGTTGGTGGTGTGTACAGGTGTGGGCGCGGTGTAATGGGAGCAGTGACGTTGATGAGTCGTGGTGGTGCAACAGATGTTGTTGGTGGTGGTGGAGATGTTACTGATGTTTGACAGAGTGGTTGGTGGTGGCTGGTGCACACGATGGGTTGTTGGTGTGTGGTGGAACTGAATGTTTGTTTGTGGAGGGTGCTGTACTTGGTGGTTGTGTTTGTGTTGGTGGTGGAGGCACAACAGACGTTGATGGAGTCGGTGGTGGTGCAACAGATGTTGTTGGTGGTGTGGAGAATTTGTTACTGATGTTGAAGGGTTGGTGGTGGTGGTGCAACAGGGACATTGTTGTTGGTGGTGGGGTGACACGAATGTTGTTGGTGGAGGTGCTGTACTTGGTGGTTGTGTTGGTAAGTTGGTGTGGAGGCACAACAGACGTCGATGGAGTCGGTGGTTGGTGCAACAGATGTTGTTTGGGTGGTGGTGAGGATGTTACTGATGTTTGAAGGAGTGGGTTGGTGTGGTGCAACAGCCCGATGTTGTTGGTGGTGTGGTGGAACTGATGTTGGTTGGTGGAGGTGTCTGTACTTGGTGGTTTGTTGTAGTTGGTGGTGGAGGCACACAGAACGTTGGATGGAGTCGGTGTGGTGCAACAAGATGTTGTTGGTGGTGGTGAGAAGATTTACGATGTTGAATGGAGTTGATGGTGGTGGTGCAACAGACAGATCTTGTTGGTGGTGTGGTAGACACTGATGTTGTTGGTGGAGTGCTGTAC